ATGACAGACAGACAGATATAGATGGATTAGATAGATGATAGATACAGTAGACAGACAGACTGACTGACTGACTGATTTATGTTTTAGTTTATCCTGTGTGCATTGTTTAGCTGTGGGTGGAAAAATCCAAACGTTTGTAACAGCATGAAGTTTCCCGGCTGCAAAGCCCTCATTCCCCTGAGCAAGTCCCCACCCGGAGGTGTGTCAAAATCGTGCAATGTCCTCCCATCCCCTTTACAACCGGGGTGCTTGTGCACCTCCCAACCTCAGTTCTATGGTGGTGGTGGGGTGGAGGGAAGCAGTGAGTTAAATCACAGGATGGGAAGGTCATTCCTTCCAAATCAAATGGTGTGATGTACTTTTGAGGCTGCAAAGGTGGTAAAAGTGCCTTCCAGCCCACGAGAATAAATCGAAGTGGCCAAGAGCCCCATGGCACCCAAGAAGAAGAAGAAAAAGAAAGGATAACTTCAATGTCCACCCACTCATCCCTTGCCAGAAATTTCTGTTTCCCCTGGTTAATTGTTCCCATTGCTAGGACATTCCTCCTTAGTTCCTGATCAGTTCTAGATTGGCGTGCAAGAACCTTCCAAAACTGAAGTCCCAACGGAGCCTCACCACTGCAGACCCCCAAACTTCTCTTCCCCTCCCCCTCTTTTTTTTTTTTGCAAACGTGGGTCTCTCACAAAGAGACATCCCTCCCACACTCAGATGCTCCAAGTTAGATGTTTACGGTGATCCGTGAGCGACTTTTAACCGATGTGAAGTCCTCAGGTAGAGATCAATGATGGGATTCTACTGGTTCGCACCGGTTCAACTGAACCGGTAGTTCCGGTGAGCAGTTGGCACTGCCCGCCCACCCTTGCCCTTTCCTCTCCTATAATTCCTTGCTTTTTAGCTGATTTATACAGTGCACACAAGACACGCAGGCGTGCGCGAAGCATGCGCTCACCAAACGGTTGTTAAACTGGTTGCATCCCACCGTTGGTGGAGATGTTTGTTAACATCAGCCCTGCAAGCACAATCAGACACAGAAACAGACACCGGGTGTGCCTACAGCTACTTTGATCTAAATTGTGGTAATAGGCCCGTCTTAATCAAAGTTGTTTTAGCTCTAAGAGCCACCTGATTCGCAGGCTGGCGCACTTCATAAGGTAGAAAGGTGTGCCGAATGAGGATGATCAAAGTGAATCAAAAGTGAATCCTTAGGGAATTCTTCCCTAAGGAATTGGAGTGGAAGGTATTAGTTGCAGATGTCACGTCTTCATTTTATTTATTTATTTTATTTATTTATTTGATTTGCCAATTGTTTACAAGATAATAAGTATAAATGTATACATAGTTGTGAATACATGAAATGGGTACATATAAGAAAAATAAAAGAATAAGAGAAACAATAGGACAGGGACGGTAGGCACGTTGGTGCGCTTATGCACGCCCCCTACAGGCCTCTTAGGAAAGGGGTGAGGTCAATAGTAGACAGTCTAAGGTTAAAGTTTTTGGGGTTTGGGGAAGAGACTACAGAGTCGGGTAGAGTATTCCAGACATTGACCACTCTATTGCTGAAGTCGTATTTCCTGCAATCAAGTTTGGTGCGGTTTACTTTGAGTTTGTATCTGTTGTGTGCTCTTGTGTTGTTATGGTTGAAGCTGAAGTATTCATTGACAGGTAGGACATTGCAATGTATGATTTTGTATACCATGCTTAGATCAGACCGAAGACGGCGTAATTCTGCAAATTCAGCCCAGTGGATTCCTTGGAGCCAAAACTTAATTTCCCCCTCTTTAATTAGCAAAACTGGTGATTAAGAAAACACCTGGCAAACTAAAATAATAATCCCAAACAGATAAAACTGGTTTAGAAGAGTTTAGGATACTGGGGTGTTTTTATTTTTGGGAGGGTCAGAAGATTTCTTATCAAAATTTCAATTCCTGGAAATGTGCCTTAGATGCCTCCTTCAGAATTCTTGGACTCATGGGAGTCTCTCCGTCCCGTTCTCCTCTTGTTTAGAACATTTTCAGATACCGGTTTTGTGTGTGTGTGTGTGTGTGTGTGTGTGAGGTCAGAAGTCCCAAAGGTGCTTTTTTTCAAGAGGCCACTGGACTTCTTTTATTTTTTTCTTGAAGAGGTTTCACTTCTCATCGGAGAAGCTTCTTCAGTTCTTCAGAGCAAAGGAGACCAGTTCTTCAGAACTGAAGAAGTTTCTCAGGTGAGAAGCTAAATGTCTTCAAGGAAAAAACAAAGTCCAATTGTCTCTTGAAAAAAAAAAACACCTTTGGGATAACCATGACCTGGATGATTGAGAATTTCCCTAGACTTATAGTGTGGTCAGAAGGTTTCTCGACCAATTATCATTTTTTGTCTCCTTCAAGATTGGACCTCCCCTTCCTCTGGAAGTCTCCTCTCTCTTTGCAATGTTCTTAGAAGACAGGACATCAGTAACTGTGCTTCTCCAAAGTCCAAAGTTGCATGGATACATCTATCCATTTTCTCTTCTTTGGGCTGCAGTCAGAACTCCAAGGGCTTATGGGATTTAGGATCACGAAATAACTCAATTTTTCTTCGGTCATTTTCAGATTCGTCTCCGGCATTGTTGAATTCTACTACAAATCCGATGGTGCTGTCAAGAGTGACCCTGAGCTACAAGCCTGGATTCATGAGATCTTCACGGAAGCTTTCTTGAGTAGGGCATCTTCAGGTAATGTTTGCCACTAGCCATCACCACCATCCTGGTCTCTCTTGAGGATCTCTCTGAATTCCTCAGCTAGAAGGCCAAATCCACACGGAGGGAACCAAGTTGGTTTCCTCTACACCATCTCTGATTGGAGATGAGTTCCAGAATGTTCCTCTGCTGAGCGGACAAAAGAACTGTCTGGAAGAAGGTGTGCCATCCACGTTGAGGCTCCTAATGCTTTCTGCTAAAAGGAAGGAGACCTTGGCTTGACTACCTACGTGGTAAGTCCACCAGAAATTGGTGCTTCCCTTCTCCCTTCCTCTACCCACATTCCTGGTTTTCTAGAGAACTAGAAATTACATAGACAAACCAAATGGAATAATACTATTTCCCAAATACGACCTACCCTGAAAGTAAGTCCTAGCTTGATTTTTACACATGCACCCATTATAACTCCTACCCCCAAAATAAGCCGTAATTAAGATCCTGCCTACTCCAGAGTACACGGGTAGAAATTAAGCTAGGGTGGGGATGGTGGGTGGTGGAGCTGCCCTACTACTTACCTTTGGACAGTTGTAGCCAGGCCTGGCACACCCCGACACCTGCCTTGCCAGCCCGTTTCTTCTGCAGCCAGCAAGGATGGCAAAGGCTTTCCTGAAGGCCTCTGGAGCTCATAACAAAGCTCCGGATTGATCCGGAGTTATCAGCTATTATAGGCTGCAGAAGCCTTCAGGAAAGCCTTGCCAGCTGCAGAAGAAGAAGTTCCTGAAGGCCTCTGACAGCGAAAAGGAGGTTGGGGCGACCTGCGCAGATGAGGTCAGTCAGTGGATGACTTTCCCCCCAGATAAGACCTGGTGCCTTTTTTTGGTGGCAAAAATATATAAGACAGGTTCTTATTTTGAGGGAAATGCAGCATATCCTTCGGTTGGACATCTGTCAGAATAAGATATATGGTCCACCATGCCTGAAGTTCTCAGCAACGCAGAAGTTACCTGACATTATATTCCCCATGTGTAATGTTTTCCGAGATTTCCATGCGCTCACCTCAGAGTGAGGGGAATTATCGCTTTTTTTTTTTTACATTGCGTGATGTGGATTTTGTGTTGTGTTTTCAACTACCTTGATCCTCAGGAACTGATCATTGCATGGTTTGGGGCTCAGCCGATGTAGGCATCCAATTGTTACTTGAACCCCATGAAGGAATGATCCTCAACCTTGGTAACTTTTAAGAGACATGGCTGGGGAATTCCGAGAGTTGAAGACCACACCTCTTCAATTTACTGAGATTGAAGAACCTTTCCATAGAGTAACACCTGGTTATGTATGTTTGATGAGTCCAAACTTTGCTCCCCCTCTTTAATTAACAAAGCTGGTGATTAAGAGAACACCTGGCAAGCTAAAAATAATAATAATAAGTCAAATAAATAAACTGGTTTAGAAGACTTTATGATACAGGTTTCTTTTGGAGGACCAGAAGGTTTCTTGGCAAACTACAATTTCCTGGAAATGTGTCTTAGATGCCTCCTTCAGAATTCTTGGCCTCATGGTAGTCTCTCCTTCTCCTCTTGTTTAGAACATTTTCAGATACTGGTTTTGTATGTTTTGGGGTGTGTTTGTGGGGTCAGAAGTCCCAAAGATACTTTTTTCAAGGGGCCACTGGACTTCCTTTGTTTTTCCTTGAAGACATTTCACTTCTCATCCAAGGAACTTCTTCAGTTCTTCAGAGCAAAGGAGACCAGTTCTTCAGAACTGAAGAAGCTTTTCGGAGGAGAAGCGAAACATCTTAAAGGAAAAAACAAAACAAAAAGTCCAGTTGCCTCTTGAAAAAGCACCTTTGGGACAACCATGACCTGGATGATGGAGAATCTCCATTAGATATTTAGCGCGGTCAGGTTTCTCGACGAATTATCATTTTTGGAAAGCTGTCAGATGCCTCCTTCAGGATTCTTGAATCTCATGGACCTCCCCTTCCTTTCAGAGGTCTCTTCTTGTTTAGAACACTTTCGGATACCAGTTTTGTGACAATGATAGGGCGAGGGTCATGCGTCTTCCTGATCGATGCAACTTCTTCGGCCAATACCCAACATCCTGTCCCTCCCCCAACAGGTGTTCCATCCACCTTCGAAAGCAAAGCTCAGCTGATCAAGTTCCTTACCATGGTCATCTTCAACTGCTCTGCAAGGCATTCGGCAGTCAACAGTGGACAGGTAGGAGGATGGGTTTAATGGTACTTCTTCTAATTTTCATCCTTTGACCAGTGGTGAGATTCAACCGGTGTAATAACTGGTTCGGTGAGCGTGTGCTTTGCATGCACAGCATTTGAAAATTGCCTGTATGCACCTCTAAAACTTAGCCCCAATGAGTTAGACAGCTGAGGCGTGGCAATGTGCGATGCCATGCACATCGGCTGAGCTACAAAACATGAAAATATAGGACCGACTAGGGCAGGGGCCAACGGATTACTGGAACTACCAGTTCTCTCGAACCGGTCCGAACCATCTGAATCCCACCTCTGCCTTCATCCCTGGGATTAAGCAAGATTCGCAAGACTCGCTGTAGAGCGGTGTTTCCCAATCTTGAGAACTTTCCGATGTGTGGACTTCGACTCCCAGAATTCTCCAGCCAGCCATGCAAGGCTGGCTGGAGAATTCTAGGAATTGAAGTCTACACACCTTAAAGTGACGGCTACCGAGCGTCTCCTGAAACATCGTGGAAGAGAAAAAGGTATTTGCTTTGCTACGTCCCCTTCCTGCACATTTTCGGAGGGCAAGAAGTTCTGAATATTGCACTGGACAATGTCTTAGAATCACAAATATAACCTCATATTACACTCACACTGGGCGTTGGGGTTGTTGTTTGGAAAAGAACCCTCCAGCCAAAAAACTTGTCTGACAAAGCAGATTTAGTTTCCAAGTTTTTTTGAGAACTCCTGAGAGCCGAGGGCTGGGTGTGACCGTAGAATAGCATTCCAAGATGACTTAGCATTGGATTAATATCTTCAGACCTGCTGGTATCTAATCTTGGTCCAACCTTGCCTTCTCGCCTTAGTCTGATGGCTTCTGTCTCCTTGGGGACAACCTTCATGTTGAGTTCCCCCATTCCTACTTTAGATCTTTTCCATTTGCCATCATAACTTCTGTAGAACTTCTGTACAGATATTGATGTGGTACCTTCTGTAGAACTTCTAATTTTGGGTTCTTTGTGTCTATTCTTGGTCCAACCTTGGTTTTGAGCTTCCTGTTGCTGATCTCCTTGGGGACAACCTTGTCCATGTTGAGTTTCCCCATTCCTGCCTTAGATCTTCTACATTTGCTAGACTCACAGCCAGGGTACTGCCCTATTTTCTGTAGAACTTCTAATTTTGGGTTCCTTTGGTCTATTCTTTGTCAACCCTTGACTTTCAATCTTAGTTTGATGGCTTCCTGTTGCTGATCTCCTTGGGGACAACCTTTTCCATATTAAATTCCCCCATTCCTACTTTAGATCTTCTCCATGTGCTGGACACACATCCGAGCTACCACCCTACCTTCTGTAGACCTTCTAATTTTTTGTGTTCCTTGTGTGTTGCGACAGTTTGACTTTGCTGCCTGGATGCCCAACACGCCGGCCACTTTGAGGCAACCTCCTCCAACAGTCAAGGGCACGGCCTCCTTGAAAAGCATCTTAGAGGTCTTCCCTGAAGTCAACTCCACCTGTGCCTTGCTGTCACTGCTGTCCATCGTCAGCTATGAGCCAGGAGACCTGGTAAGTGGAGCTAAGAGTCAGTAGATGCTAACAAAGACAGAGGAAGTCAATAGAATGACGACCTTATGTCCTCAAAAGTGTACGATTGATGTCCTCTGGGTCCCTCTGAGCTTTGGGTGGTGTGACTGTCGTAAATGAAGATGCCCCAACATGGCCCATTTTCCAGATATGTAGATTCTCCTCCCAGAATGCTTAGCGACATCTACTCTACTGGCTGTGGAATTCTGGGCAAGGCCATTCTGCAGCCAGTCGTTTGCTAAAATGAGGAAGCACTAGTATAAACGAATAAATTAACGTGTTTATAAGGTATATGATCCGTTGTGTAACCAACCATCTTTTATAATGTCCTTTGCAAATCCTGTTAAGTCGGGATCCCTTGCAGTTTTGGCCACCACGATCCAAAAGAGATGGTGAGACTCTAGAAAGAGTGCAGAGAAGAGCAGTAAAGATGATTAGGGGACTGGAAGATAAAACATACAATGAACGGTTGCAGGAAATGGGTACGTCTAGTTTGATGAAAAGAAGGACTAGGGGGGACATGATAGCAGCCTTCCGATATTTGAAGGGCTGCCCCAAAGAGGGGTCAGGCTATTTTCCAAAGCACCTTTGAAGGCCAGACAAGGAACAATGGATGGAAAATGAACAAGGAGAGATTCAACCCGGAAATAAGGAGAAACTTTCTGGCAGTGAGAACAATCAACCGATGGAATAGAAGTTGCCTTTGGAAGTTGTGGGAGCTTCGTCATTGGAAGTTTTCAAGAAGAGATTGGATTGTCCTCTGTCAGAAATGGTGTAGGGTCTCCTGCTTGGGTGGGGGGTTGGACTAGATGACCTCCAAGCTCCCTTCCAACTCTGTTGATCTGAATGTGATTAGGGAGCTGGAGGCGAAAACATATCAAGAACGGTTGCTGGAATTGGGTATGTCTAGTTTGATGAAAAGAAGGACTAAGGGTGACATGACCGCATCTTCCAATAATTGAGGGGTTGGACTAGGTGACCTACAAGGTCCCTTCCAACTCTGTTGATCTGTTAAATCTGTTAACATTTGCTTGGTTGCATCTTCGTCAGGGACGTTCTCCATCTTCTTTTCTTTCAGAGACCTCTGGGCCATTACCCAGAAGAACATTTCACTGAGGAGATGCCCAAAAACCTCATTTCCGATTTCCAGAAACGCCTGGCGGTAATTTCCGAAGAAATTGAGGAAAGGAACCAAGGTTTGCCCATTGCCTATCACTATCTCAACCCTTCGCTGGTCCAGAACAGTGTCTCCATCTAATGGCCAAGCCAGACCGCCAAAGGCAGAAGAAGATGATGTGTTACCTCGAATTTGATAACGTTTTGACCATCGGGGGAAAATCTGCTTTTCTGTCAAAATATATCGTCATTGTAGTTGTGCTTTTAAAGTTGTAGCAACGTTTCGGCAGAATCTCATCTGCCATCATCAGGCTTCTGTATTGTGTCCGTCTGTGAGTCAGACTTTCACAGCCGTTTCTGTTTTAAATTTGGGGCTAGCCTACTGCTGTGCCAGAGTGGTTCTTTCTTCATCCTGATTGGTTGGGAGTCTTGGTCTGTGTTTATTGGTCTTGGAGTTTGCTGTGTTCTGCTTGATTGGTGTTTCTTAGAAGATGGATATTATTGGGGGAGGAAGACTAAGGGATGAGGGAAATTCAGCTATTTTAGATTCCTGTGAGGAGGGAAGGATGGGTTTGGTGCGTGAACCAGAAGAAATGGCAAGAAATCCCCAATTTTTCTCCTGAATAAGGAAGGAAAAAGGATTGTATCCATTGTGGAAACGAATATTCTTGTCTTCTGGAAACTCAACTGAATTGGTCCTCTTTTCTTTTCTTTTTTGCATGTTTAATGAACTTCCAGTAGTTGCAAAGTTTAAATCATGAGGACTAGAAACACTAGTTTAGTAATCCTAGATAACAAGAAGCATCATTATCCACCAATCACTAAATTATATTCCATGTTGCCTTGATGTCTGCATATTTATATTCATCAAAGTGTTTCTCAACCATGGCCCCTTTAAGATGGGGGGGACTTCAACTCCCAGAATCCCCCAGCCAGCGTATCTATCCCCTGTTTAATTCTCAGGCCATCTAGCCCTTTTTATGTCGGTTTCCCATTTAATTGTCAGGCCATCTATCCCTTTAATGTATTTATCAACGTGGGTTGTCATGGGTTATTATTTTCTCTCCGTTTTGCTGAAGTCGAAGGTATATTACGTCTACTGCATTCCCACCATCTATTAAGAAAGTTAAAAGTCCAAACATGCAATAAAGGTAGTCACATTTGTTCTTGTCCTAGACATGCTGAATTTTTTAGTAAACTTTTGCTGGCTGGGGAATCCTGGGAGTTTGAAGTCTGCCCATCTTAAAGGGGCCAACGCGGAGAAACACTGGCCTAAGCTATGACTGGAAAAAGTATTAAAAGATCCAACTGGAAAAAGTATTAAAAGATCCAACTGGAAAAAAAAATGTGAGCTGTTTCCCCCCCCCTCTTTTTTTGCATCCTCCTTCAGAAATGGAGAGAGGTGGAGACAACAAAAGCCTTTCATTTTTCCCCCCTGCTTTGTTATTTGTTTTTAGTCCTGTAATGAATAAAGTGTTTCCCAGGGCGATCCCAGCGCTGTGAAATATGTACAAATGCCTTGTGGAATCTTATTAAAATTGGATTATTCAGGCGAGGATGTGAAATTGTCTCCAGCTTCAGGCAGGGCTGTAAGAGGAGGAGGATTGACAAAGATATAGACCAGATCATCAAGGGGAAAAACATAATAACTCAAAAAACCGGGTGGACCAGATGGAAAATACAACCAGATAAGATAATTGTACTTGATTGTAAAGCCATGTTGACAAGAGTCTTGAAAATCTGGAACTTTAATTCTTCCCCGGTCTCTTTTACAGCCCGAGAAATTAGGAAGAGTTTCTTTCTCCACCTCATTATACAGCTCTGGGCTCAGCTGCCTCTTATCTAACTGTTCCCTTGCAGCATTTTTTCATCTGGCTCTCAAGGTTCTTCCTGAATCAAAAAAACAAAAGCAAAAACACCCAGAACTAAAATCTGAAATGGACAAACTAAAAGCATTTGTTTGAAAGGGTATAAGGCAGGGGGTCAGCCACCCGCAGCTCCGGAGCTGCATGTGGCTCTCTTTCATCCCTCTGCTGCGGCTCCCTGTCGGCTCAAAATATGTGTCACAACCGCCAATGTGTGGCGCCCGCCAGCATGCGATTTATTGAGCTTTTCGAACCCCCGATAGGCCAACCATGGGTAAATCCAAGAAAAGAAACGTTTCAGAGGAAAATGTTTAATTCAACACCTTAGACTAGTTTTGTGGCCGCTCAGGAAATAGCCAGGCATGGGAAGGGTTTTTGTGGGTCTTTTCTGTGGGAAATGGTGTCAGGATTCCAGCAATCGCCCTAATTAAATCATGATTCTCGAGCCAAACTTCAAAAAACTTCAAAGGATTCATTAGAGGTGACATACTGGCACTTCCCTGTATGAAGCCAACTCTGGCCTACGTAGTTTACAGTCCCCTGTGACCCTGTTCCCCCCCCACACACACACTGGGTGTCTCATAAACCAGGTTCTCCAATTGAGTACGTTCACAGGCTGAGTGTCATCATTCACGTTCTCCAATTCAATATATTTGCAGGCAAAAACTCTGGTATTTTAGTTATAATCTTTTAAAAGTAAGAATTGGAATGTACTTTCGCTTTCAAATGCTCTTCCAGATTTCCTTCCTCCACCCCCACCCCTTTTTTTATTATGGCAACTACTAAAACAGGCATAGGAATGTTTTAAATGGGTTCAAATGCCTCTTTGAATGTTTAAGGTTGCCATTCCTTGGTATAGAATTCCCAGCTTGAGCAGAGAGCTGGACTAGAAGACCTCCATGTTCCCTTCCAGCCCTATTCTGATTCTGATTATTCAGATCCTGTTGCATCCAGTAGGTGTGATGACCCAGGGTGGGATAGAAAAGCAACAAAGTCACAAAAACAGGTGAAGTCCCTTTAATTCCTTCAACTTGGCTTTAAAGGTCCAATTATCACTGACTGGAGAGAAAAAACTCCCTCACAAACAGTGGCGAAAAGGAAGAACTTCCGTTCAAACTCAAAATACATATAAATTATAAATAGGAAAAAAACAACACAAACCACACTGAAGCAGTTTATGAGACGCAGCAGGATAAGGGCTTGAAGACATCCACAGATATTGAAATACACACACTGGGAAGGACGCCAGAACATGTGCATGTTTGTCCTTTTAAACAGTCCTCACAGCTGCAGCCCATGAAGGGGATCAGGACCCTTTCCTCCCCATAGACCATGCCATTCACGTTTCTCCCTTATCCACTCCTCCCTGCATGCCCTAGGATGAAGAGGGGATGGGCCTGGGTCTTCCTCTGAATGCCCAGACAGCCTGTGACCTTCCCCAGTTTCCTCCACAACCTCCAGAACCACACTCCCACTCCCTGTCAGCTGTTCCTCCTCTCCCTCGGAGTCAGATTCTAACAGGGGCATGGCCCAACAACCCAAGAAGGGGAAATTCTGGCTCTGCAGATTATAGATTTGAGCAAGGAAGACATTTCCTCCCCCTCTTATAATGACAGAAACTGGAGCCATCTCATAAAGCGGATAGGAAGGGGACCAGAAACAAGAAACTTTATGACCACAAGCGAGCCCAAAATTTCCGTGGCTAAGCGAGGCAGCTGCTAAGTGAGTTTTGCCCCATTTTACTATCTTCCTTGCCCCCATTGTTAAGCGAATCACCTCAGCGGTTAAGTTAGTTACCCGGTCGTTAAGTGAATCCGGCTTCCCCCTTGACTTTGCTCCTTGGAAGTTTGCCAAAGGGGATAATGTGATCCCGGGACACTGCGACCGTCATAAATACGAATCACTTGCCAAATTTTGATCATGTTGACCATGCTGGGATGTGGCAACGGTCATAAGTGTGGAAAACAGCCATAAGTCCTTTTTTTCAGTGCTCTCGTTACTTCCAACGGTCACTGAAATCCTGTCGTAAATTGAGAACTACCTGTACAGAATTCCTAACGAATGCATTGAAAACCTTCCCAAATCATAATAAACTTAGATTATCTTCTTCCTCTTCCACAAATCTGGAAGTTTTGGACTACAAGTCCCATCCCCTCCTCGCCATCTGCCCCCTGTAGCTTGGATGGCTGGAAGGTGCGAACCTTAGGCAGCTCAGCAATGTAGCTGTCCATCTTCGATGCTTTCAAAGGGTGATTGGCTAAACATCCAGAGGGCGGGACATTTGCCATTGGTTGCAAAGCATCACCGCTATGGATCCTCCACGTTCCGAGGCAGTCTATCTGCACCAGGAGAGCCTGCTTTCTGGGTTTCCGAGTGGCTCCTCTGCAGAAAGATCTCTGGATTTTCTTAGAGATTGCAGAATGAACCTGGAAATAAGGAGGAATTTTCTGACAGTGAGAACGATCCATTTTGTTGCCTTCAGAAGTTGTGGGAGCTTCATCCTTGGAGGCTTTCAAGAAGAGATTGGACTCCCATCTGTCAGAAATGGTGTAGGGTCTCCTGCTTGGGTGGGTGGGTGGGTGGGGTTGGACTAGATGACCTACAAGCTCCCTCCCAGCTCTCTTTAATCTGTATTATTAAGACCACCAGTTCCAGAAGTGTCCCCTCCAGGTGTATCAGCTCCATGATTAAGAATGCATCCAGTTTTGGTCACCACGATATTGTAAGAAAAGAGGTTGAGACTCTAGAAAGAGTGAAGAGAAGAGCAACCCAGGGGATTAGGAGACCGGAGGCTAAAACCAGGGGTGGGATTCAAAAAACCCAGCAACCGGTTCACTGCTCAGTGGGTGGGCGTGGTCACGGTGGGCGTGGCCTACTGGAACATCCGGGACGGCCATTTCTCACTTTCCCAAGGGTCCAGAGGCTTCCCTCGGGCCTCTGAGAGGGCAAAAATGGAATTCTGGACTTCCGGAAGGCCCGTTTTCCCCTTCCCAGAGCCTCCACGTGGGCTCTGCACTTACCTGCACTGAAAATGGGCTGCGTGGAGACTGCTGGGAAAGGCGTGGCAGGGCGGGCAGGTCCAGCCTGTCAGTTTGGCAAACCAGATGCAAATTTAACAACCAGTTCGTCTGAACCGGTCCGAACCAGTAGAATCCCACCTAAAACATGAAGAACGGTTGCGGAAATTGGATATGTCTAGTTTAATGAAAAGAAGGACTAGGGGTGACATGATAGCATTCTTCCAATATTTGTGGGACTTCCACCAAGAACCTATTCTCCGCAGCACCTGAAGGCAGGA